CAGTAACCCGCAGAAAGATTGAAGTAGAACTCTGTAAGGACGAAACTATTCGCAGGCATACGAATGCTGCAGTCGGGATTATTGCAGTTAGCCTAAAGAAGAAATCGAAGACTGGAAAGGATTGAGGGATATCTTATCAATGCAAAACAGGTGCTTGTATTTTGGCCACAAAATAGTCATTCTAGCCTCGCTGAGACAAGCGGCTCAGAAGCAGTTACACGAGGGACTACCTGGAATGACATGGACGAAGATGCTCGCGAGAAGATTCACATATTGGGTAGGCATCAACAGAATATTGAAGAATCAGTGTGCGCCGCTGTAAGGATTGTCAAGAAGCCTCCAATGAAAGTGAAGACGTTTTTGCATTCATGGAAAGTGGAAGACAAGCCGAATTGGCTTCACATTGACTACGCAAGGCCATTGAATAGTAAGATGTATCTTGCCGCGTGGTTGACGCTTACTCGAAATGGTAAGTGTTTGGATGCCTTTATTGTCAACTGCAGCCCCAGAGAAATTCGGGAATCCACGAGTGATCGTGTTGTAACAGGACGCAGTTCACAGCAAAGCAGTTCCAAGAATTTTGTGAAGAGCAGGAATCAAGCATTTGCGCTGAGAAGGGCATGGAAGGCATTGGAAATCAAGCTACCACGACTACGTCTTCGACAATAATCCGACCAACGTCGACTACCACAGCGTCTCCAAGTAGATCCTAGTCTTTAAGATGTACAATTGTTCATACAGGGTGTCCCAAAAAAAACGTACCTACTGTTTATTGTCAATAACTCTATAGTAATTAAGTCTTTCGAGAAGCTTTAGGCACCATTTTGTAGAGCTGGGTTCAACTTAAATTTGCAGGTGACAGTGAATTACCGACAGCTATCCATTACTGTAGGTATACGGTAGAAATCTCAAGCTTATGGTGTCACTGTGGAAAAATCCACCATTTCAAAAATTTTCAAAACAATGTGAAAACTTGTGCAATAGGGTTTTATGGACTCTGAGCTCAATACTCAACTATGTACAAGCTTGCGAAGCTTTTTGAATGGTGTAACTGCACTTTTTAGGAACATTGGAAACGGCCGCTGCTGCTTAGGCTGCGTTCATACTGATCCCGAAGTCCGGGAACAGTTCCAGCACAGCAGTTCAGTTTGAGCGCTGTGCTGGAACTGTTCCCGAATTTCGCAATCAGTATGAACGCAGCCTTACCTCGCATAGCTTTTTAATGAAGCAATATGATAAGTTGCGAATTTCAAATTTAGAATCAGCAACTCTAACTAGTCCAGTGTGAGAGTTTTCAGGTTGTCAGGTGTTAGTTTTTAGGTTTCAGGTTGTTCTGTTTCTGGAGCAAAATGTGGCCTTTCCTGGCTCAAAACCCTCTTCAAAGTTCCTACCGTATCCTACACAAGTAGAGAGCACTCGGTA